AGTGTAAGGAACTATACATAGAATTGAATCCAAAGTTAGCAGAGGAAAGGTGATAAAAACTAAAGCCAAAATAGATGAAACAGAAAATAGAAAATCAATAGAAAAGGTCAATGAATGTAAATGTTGGTTTTTTGAAAAGGCAAAGAGGAGACATTACAACTGATACCACAGAATTACAGAACATCATAAAATTACAATAAAGAGTTACACACCAACAAGTTGGACATCCTAGAACATAAATTCCTAGAAACATACAATTAAGACAGAATCATGAAGAGACAAAAAAAAACTGAATAGAGCAATAATAAGGAGATTGTATCAGTAATCAAAAACCTCAAAGTAAAATACAAAGAAAAGTCTACTACCAGATGGTTCCACTGGTGAAGTCTACCAATCATTTCAATAAGAACAATGTCATTCTTTCTCAAACTCATGCAAAAAATTAAGAGTCAGGAAATAGTCCCAGACTCATGTCACGTGGTCAGTATTACCCTGAGGCCAAACTCAGATAAGGATATTACAAGAAAACTATAAGCCAATATCCCTGGTAAAGATGCAGAAATCCTCAAAATACAAACAAACCAATTTCAATAGCACACTAAAAGGATTGAAGGGATCACAATCAAGTAGGGTCTATCCTTGGGGTGCAGTGATGTTTCAACTTAACAAAATGAAGAATAAAAATTCGTGTGCCTCCCCTGGTGGCACAGGCGGTTGAGTGCTGCACTGAGAAGCTGTCCGCAGCCTCTGCAGCGCGGGTTTGATCCCCGCCAGGCGGTGAGGGTCCCACACAGCGCAGCAGACCTCTCCTGTTGCACCCGCTGCTCCCCTCAGCAGTGTGTTTCATCAGTCTGCCTGTTCTGCTCCCCACTCTGTCTCTGGTGAATCTTCTCACCCTCCCGCATATCTGGCCTGTGCTCTGGTTCTTGTATAAATAAATAAAATAAATCTTTAAAAAAAATTGTATAATCATTTCAATAGATCCAGACAAAGCATTTGAAACAATTCATCATTTTTCATGATAAAAAATGGTAGAGAAGGAACACACTCAACATAATGAATATCACAAATGATAATCAATGATTAATGATTATCACATTCAATAATAAAAGATTGATAACTTTCCCTGTAAGATCAGGAACAAGACAAGGTGCCCATGCTCACCATACCAATTCAGCATTGTACTGGACTCTTAGAGTAATTAAGCAAGAAAAATAAATAAAAGTCATTGCAATTAGAAAAGAAGGTATGTTTTACTTGGAAAAGAAGCAAAGGATATCTTTGTTGATGACATGATCTTGTACATATATAATCATAAAGGCTCCACCACAAAATTGTTGGAACTAATCAATGCATTCTGTAAAGCTGGAGGATACAAAATAAAATCTATACACCCAAAACTATAAGACATTGATGAAAGAAATTGAATACACAAACAGAAGGAGGGACAGCTTGTGCTTATGGATCATATAAGGAGAAATAACAGTTAAAATGTCCATATTACACAGTCATCTATATATTCAATGCAATCCCTATCAACATTTCAATGACATTTCACAGAAATACAAAAAACACTATATATATATATGTGATCCCCAAAGACCCTAAATAGTCAAAACAACCTTGAGAAAGAGCAAAGCTGGAGGCATCGCACACCTTGATTTCAAACTGAGTTACATAACTATAGTAATCGAAGCTGTATGGCATTTGCATAAAAACAGACACATAAACCAATGAAACAGTTGAAAACCTAGAAATAAACATATAAGGTCAACTAACCGATCATAAGGCAAACAAGGATATTCAATGGGGAAATCATAGTTCATTCAATAGATGATGTTGGAAAAACTGGATATTCACATGCAAAAGAGTGAAATTAAATCCCTATCCTATACCACTCAAAAGATTTAACTGAAAATGAATTAAGTACTTAAACATAAGGCCTGAAACTGTAAAAATCTTGCACAAAAACATAGGTAAAAAACTCTCTGATTGGTCATGGCAATGACTTTTTGTATATAACACCAACAGCACAAACAACACAAATAAAAGTAAATAAGGCAAATTGCATCAGACTGAAAAGCTTATGCATAGCAAAAGAAACAATTAAGGAAATTAAAAGGCATCCTATGAAATGGAAGGAAACATTTGCAAACCATATATCTGATAAGGGGTTTATATCAAAACATATATGGAACTCATATAACTCAATAGCAACCAAATCCCATTTAAAAAAAATCTCATTTAAAAAATGGGCAAGGGACCAGAATAGACATTTTTCTGAAGAACACTAAATGGCCAACAAGTCATAAAAGTTGCTCAACATCAGAAATCATTAGGGAAAAGCAAGTCAAAACCACAGTGAAATATACTTTATACCAGTTAAAATAGCTAATAGCAAAAAGACAAGCCATAATAGTTATTAGTGAGGATATGGAGAAAAGGGAACACTTGTGCACAGTTGATGGGAATATAAATCAATATGTCAGTATAGAAAACAGTATAGAAGTTCCTCAAGAAAAAAAAAAAGAACTACCGTATAATCCAGCAATCCATCTTCTGGCTACTTAACCAAACCAAACCAAACCAAAATCACTATCTTGAAGAAGTATCTGCACTCCCAGGTTCACTGCAGCGTTATTCATAATAGCCAAGAGATGGAAACAATCTAAGTGCCCATCAGTGGATGAGTGGATAAAGAAAATGTGATATACTGAAATTCTGTCCACCGTAAAAATGAATGAAATCCTGTCATTTGTAGCATCAGAGAAAGACAAATACTATGTGATTTCACTTCTTGTGAAATTCTAAAAATATCAAACTCATAGAAACAGAGACTAAATTGAAGGTTATCAGGGAGCAGGGAAGATGGGAAGATGTTGGGTGAAGTGCACGAACTTTTCAGTTGAAGATCAAGAAGCTGCAGGAATCTACTGTACTCCATGATGACTATGGTCAGTAATACTCTATTGTATAGTTGAAAATTGATAAGAGTAAATCATAAATGTCCTCACCATAACAACAAAAAGAAATCGTAATTAAATAACAAGAAGGGTGTGTTGAACCTTATGTCGTAAAACTTTTGTTTTGTGTGTGTGTATTTGTGAGATCAACCTATTGTGCACCTTAAATTTACACAATGTTATATGTAAACCACATCTCAGCAAAGCAGGGAAAAAATGGGGAAAATTCAGTCTCTCTTGAGCACCTAATTTGAATATACCATAACTATGTTATCCACATGTTCTCACATGTAAATAAGCTTGCATGTTTACATATAAATTAGCTTAGTTACTAAATGTTTTCCTTAACTTTTATCTTAGAATGCTGATCCTTTTGATTGGAGAGAGTTTAATAGAGCATGACTCATTTAAATAACTTTTATATGCCAACTCTAGACACTTTCTCACAGTCTCCTTATCCTGCACACCCTTGATCAGGCTAAACCTTTCTAAGATTTTTTTTTAGTATTCTATTTGGACTCATTTAGAAGTTTCTCTTTTTCTAATGATTAAATAATGAATAGCTAATGTTTTTGATTCTTCAGAGGATGTTTTAAGATCTTTTTTATCACCATTACATAAAATTCTTTCAGTAATTTAAGTTTTTGATTAAAAATGCTAAGTTAAAATGGCAGCTACTTTATTTATAGACATATTACAATCTAATTTTTTTCTTTGTAAATCTCTAAAATACCATGGCTAAATAGTTCATTTGTCTTTATAAGGATGTGTGTTTTAAACATAGCTTTTTTCAATATAAAAATCATTACAGATTTATATTACAGGTTAATAGAATACTGACGAGTTGATAAACAATATGAAAACCACCTACCTATTATTTCACTGCCCAGAGAGAACCATCATGCAAATGTGGTATTCCCTTAAGGGAGTACAGGCACAACTGTAGCTGTGTGCCTTTGAATAAAACTGCATGTGTGTGTTAGATCACAAAGGGACAGATTCAAGTATAAAATAACTTATGTCCCACAGTACTTGTGGTTTAAAAGTCAGTTTTACCGCCTTTATGTTTTTTTCTCTTGAGAGCGTATAAATCTTCCACCTTTATTTTTTTTTTAATCTTCACGAATTCTGTCAAGAACATCTTTTTCCTCACAAGTATCACACCTGAAAACACAGCCTCACAGAAATGTAGTCACAATATTAGCCGCTACAACAATTAGCAAATCACAGGGCTCACACTCAAACTCAATTCTCCCAGCATCTCAAATCCAGTATCCTTCCCTTAACAATTCAGCTTCCTCATGTATTTGTATTCCTGCTACAATTTGTACTTTTGACTAAATTAAAAATCATTCTAAAAGTTTGCCTTAAAATACCCCCAGAGTGTTACTAAATTAAGGTTAAATCTCAAGTATAAATTTCCAAACAATTAGTTTTGGTTTTGCCCGAGCAGAACACCCCACAGATGATGACGAATAAAAACTATTTACACAGTACCATAGTGCATTTCTTGTAAAAACGTTGGGTCTGTAGCAGCGATTTGCTAATCAAATTCAGAATTTGATTTGAAATGCCTCCGGCAGGCAGCCAATCCAGTTATGAAAGAACAGAAGCAAAAACCAGGGCCCTGGTGAGTCTCCTTCAGAAGCTAGCTGAGTCCTTTGCTCTTGTTAGCGAACTGATTCCATAGGAAATCACTGCCATTGCCCCTAAAATAAAATATCATAGTTAATTTTTTCAATAAATTATCGGACTCTACTAGACACAAAACATGTACATTTTGGAATCTAGAGTTATAAAATATTCTGACATGTTTTAATATAAACAGGAACATTTCCAATGATTGCTTGGATCTAAAATGTTTTTCCACTTGACATTTGTTTATACTTCCTAGGAAAGAAACTCTATTTATGGATAACTGAATAACACAAATAAACATCAGAGAGAGCTGAAAAATCAGCTTTGATTATGCATGAAAATCTACAATGTCATTGTGTACTCTTATGCCGTATTCTGATTGCCTGTTTATTTTTACAGAACTGCTGGTGAGCCTATGGAAGAGGAGCCAGCCTTGTGAAGTGCCAAGTTCCCCCCACCCCGATATTTCCTGTGTGTGACATCATTGTGTATCCCCCCACCGCAGCACCCTCAGACATGTCTTGTCTGCTGCCTGGGTGGCACAGATTCGATGGAACATAAACACTGGGCACAAAATTCTGAACAGCAGCTTCACTTGTTCTTTGGATGGACTTGAAAGGGCATTAAAGATTCCTTAAATGTAACCGCTGTGATTCTAAAGTTACAGTAAACCACGATTGGAAGAAACTGTTTCCAGCGTTCTTTTAATATTCTGGGTGACCCACTCCCAGGCTCAAAGTATGAACCAGAAATATCCAAAACAGCATTAAATACTGTTAATTGCAGAAGTTATGACAGCCAGCGAAATTTTGGGCAAAACCTGAGAAATAATCATTCCTGACATTCTGATCAGGTTTTTATTGGGTAATTTTTTGTCAGTCTTAAATTGTTTACAGGATTTGTTTTCAGGATGAACAAATAGCAATTCCGGACAGATTGCAGGATTTTTGTTTTGTTTTGTTTGTTTTTTTGGCCTTTGTTTTAACACACAGTTCAACTCTGGCTAGCAGAGTTCAAAATGGAGGAGCTGGGATGAGGGTTTTTTCAGTGGACTAAACCACACTATATCACAAAATCCAAATGCCAAAGGAACCTCGCACACTCTATGTAATGATGCAATATTTTATGTCACATTTTGAGAAAAATTTCCCTATTTCCTGAGCATCCCTCTCTCTGTTCTCACACATGGAGCTTTGCAATTGTATTTGAGGATGAAACCCCCACCCGCCTTCATACATCCTTTGTCCTGGTGACAGTAGCTCTGAGCATATGTCCCAAAGGGAATTTTCGGTGTCTTTGAAAAGTGCACAACTTTTCAAAGATGGTCTTAATTTGTTCCAAATCTATCAAGAATTTATTCTCACTTTTCTTTTTCTGCCTGCCATCATTTCCTTTCTTGTTCCCTTTCATCCTTCCTTCCTGTAGAAAAGCTGAAGACTATCCATAATCTCCCCTATTACACAGAAACTTTGAGGGTTTTTAAATTAATTAATTAATTTTTTTCTTGTCCAGGTTAACACAGTTGCTTGGTCTGATTGTGCTCTGTTAGCTATGAAACCGTTGAGGTGAACATGGCTTATACAATGTTAATGTCACTGAATTTTTTAAATCTTTGAAGTGTGTTAATGAAGGCATTGCCTGTTTAAAGTCACCTTGAATTGAGTTAACCTTGAGGTTGTGCCTTCATGTAAAAAAAAAACAAAAAAGCAAAATACTAACTTAACCTTTATATACGTTGCCTTAGTGTCAAAGACTAAAATTAATGGATTTTTTTTTTTTTGAGATTAAAAGCAACTTACTAAGTAAGAGGATAAATACTTATCCACAAATTCTATTTCAATGTTAACTCAAACACCTAAAGACATTGATATAGAATACCTTGCAGTATTTAATATCTGACAATACTTTGGAAAGAGTTGATGTTTCTTTTTATATATTTTCCTAACTCAAAGGATATATTAAAGCCATAAGTGAAGATTGTCATGCTTTTATTCAGAAATCTGAAAGAAACCTTAATTAAAACAAGGTTTTAGGGAAGGCCATGATATGAAAGATATGGAACAATATGGTTTTAGTTAAAGAGGACTCTAACCTGTAAATCAAAGATGAAAGATTTCACTCAAGTAGAATTATATAACTCCTTTTGTTATACAGTCAGACCATATTTTTCATGCATTTGGTTTTTTTAGGATTACCATTTTAATTTTAAAGACTTTTATTATATATACAAGAATGGCTCAAAACTTGTTTTAACATCTTAGAAATTTGAGACACCCTTTGAAATAGGAAATCTGAAATGGAATGTAACTCAGTATTACGTAAAAATTACTTTCATTGCATAAGGGTAAGGTCAACCTAGATTCACAATATAGATTTTACAAATCTTTAGTTTTACAAAAGAATTAATGATATTTTCAGAGAAATCCATGCCAATTATATTTGCTAGCTCTTGCTATTTTGCTATAATTGCTTGAAGAGATTTACTTAGAAAAACCAAATAGAGGAGCCAAAGATTAAAAAAAAAGAAAGAAAGTTTCCCTCTTTTAAAATGGAAAGTTATTTCATATTTTAATTGGAAACATAATTGTGATGTTTTGAAATGAACTTGATAATCATAAATCTCTATTATTACTCTTCAGTACTCCCAGATAGTTTTTTGATGTTGAATAAGAAAATGAAAAGTATAATGCAACCATACAAGTTTTCTGAAGTTTCCTACTGCATATTTATGCACAGCCTCAATCTGATAAAGTCAAATCACTAGAACATCTCCATGGTTATTTAGATTTAAAACATGACACATTAATGAGTTAATCACACATCCTTCCATGTGATACCGTACCCAATTGGTGGCAATTCACATCTTTAGGATACATGGAGAGGCAGATAAACTATGGAGAGGATTAATCACAGCTGAATGTAGTTGTAGGAACAGAATGCCAGTGCTTTTTGATTATACCATTACAAGATGTAGTGTAGCCCTCAGGGACAGAATGGAGGCTTTTGGAGAATATCAACACTTCTTTTGAAATAGACCAGCACTTTTTGAAAGGGCAGTCTCATTTGGTACAGTTTTCTTCACTTATACATTTAATTTTTATTGCTCACAATAGTTTCCAGGAAAGGGCTATTTAGAATTCCTCTATTTGTATTATCAATAATATATTTCTTTCTGATCCATACTTTGAAAGATAATCACAGCCCTTTCCTACAATTTCATAATATATTCTAGTAGATGAATAAATCTTATGGTTTTGAGAAACCTATTATCAAACAATGCTAGACATTTAACAAGATTGATAACAGGTACAAAAAAAAACATATAAAAAATATCTCAGTTCTATATTTAAATCCAGGCCTATATATTAAATTGAAACCCACAAACATTAGTGTCAGGTAATGAATAAAATGGACCTCAACTGGTAATAGAGCTATTTTAGCATTTCTTAGTAAAGGGAAGAACATTTTGTAATAAAATATTTTAATAAGGTAGTAGCATCAACAGTGGAGCTAGAAGTCACCTGCTTTGGGTGAGAATAGAGATAATTATGAAAAATTACTACAAATCACATTTCCATTACCAATTCTAGGAAGTAAAATCTTTGGTTTTTACTACAACTCCATGCATAACATACATCTCTCACTGACAACATGGTGCCTTTGAAAGCAAGACAGCTGAAGTGACGATTTCAGAAACTATGGGACAGCTCACTCTTAACAATTCAGTACTGTTTTATTTCCAAAGGTCTTTCATAAAGTTTTGTGGATCTACTGGTTTGGTTTTGTTTTTTCACAGACTCCATATGGAAATAAAATTGAATGATCATGTAGAAAGACTCCTGGGAGAAAATTTATTTTCAATCAGCACTTCTATACTTATTTTTCATTCCAACATTTATTTTTAGGACAAGTTATTTAAGTATTCCTTACTATTTATCTTTTAAAAGTTTACTCTCAGTTTATCTCAATGAAAGTATTAAATGTTTAAAATAGCCACAAAACAAACTAGACAAAAGTTTCTGTCTTAAAAGTGATTCATTCTGAGCTTGAAATAAACACTGTGTCAAAGTTTGACATTGTCATTTCTAGCAGCATCTATCTTAACATTCTTTACCAGCTTTAGGGATGACATAATTTGACTTGTTGAGAAAAATAAGAAAAAGAGAAGTAAGAAACAACACACCTGTCCAAGTATTCCATAAAGAGGGCATTTCACCTCTCTCAAAGAAATGGAAACCAGATCATCTGTGTTAAGAAATGAAGGCTTTTTATTGCTGTCTTCAAAACCAGTCATTAACTTGGTCATGATCATCATCAAATACTCGATGTGTTCCCAAGGGACACAGTTATATTTTGGTGTCCTGCAGTATTCTGTACTCTTTGCTGCCTTTTGAGTGAAGTATTAAATATCAAATTCATCAAAACACCATCACTGAAAAATACAAGTGCCTATGTATGGCTTCCTTTTCTGATCCTATTTACATTGAAAATCACAGCCCTTGCCTCCTAACAGCTTGCTTTGACTCTGTGAAATGCTTCTTGAAGCATACCATGATTGTCATGTTGCCAGAGTATATTTTTTCAAATGAACATGGTATATACTCCCATAGGACTGTAGAACTTGGTTTCTCTAAATCAACTGTAGTCGGTTTTTTTTCTATGCAACAGCCGGCTTTATATAATGGATTAAGTGACAACTGAATCAGTTATTATATGCTGGAAATGGCTGAGTCAAATCAATAAGTCAACTTATTGATTTGGGGCTGTTTGGACTTGATATCAGTGATAGAGTTATAGAATTGCAACAATTTCCCAAACCATCCTAAGTCACAGGCTGGAACATTTAGATCCACAATGAACCCACCACAGAGTGCCAATCTTTCTAATTAATGACTTCCTTTCCAACCCTCCCTTTTTCCTCTGTCCAACTACAAATACCAAGTTCCATATCTAAACGATCAGAATAATTTCTTAATTCTCTACTTTGTTTCCTAAGTAGAAATAAACTTTACAAGTTATTTTTTGCAATACCACTAGGTATGATTCTTTTAATGTCACTTTATATAAACATCCTCATAGATACTCTTTCTTTTTAGTCTCTTCCTTTCAAGAATCACTTGGTTGTTTTTTTTATTATTCTTTTCATAAAAGTTAATTATGTTTTGGTGTGCAATTTTTGAACAGGCATTTTATTTTATTAATACAGAATTTGTTGTTTCAAATGTAGTTTTATAGCATTCTTGCTACTACCTAATTATTTTGTACTAGTTATCCCATAGAGTTTATAATTTTCTTGCCATTGGATGATGTCTTTATCAGACAAACCCACAAATATTAAATTCAACATGAGGAAAAGTGACAAAGAAAAATTTTAAATCAATAAAATTTAGAAACAAGATACTTTACAATTATTCAAAGAAAATTTTAGTCCTTTTATGTTCCTGTTAGAGTCATAGGCACATTAAGGACAAATGTTGCAACACTAAATATAAGAAAGAGGGTCAATTATTTGGTGGGATATTTTGGTGATATCTGGCAAGCTTTATGGTAGTAGCCTTTTGTGGAGTTGACCCTTTATGTTAATTTATGGAGAACTTGCAGCAAATTTTTGCTATTGCTTTTATTAACATTACTCATTTTAAATTGAGTAATAAAAGATGAACTTAATAACTAATAACTTTAAAATTAAAATTATATAAATATGAAAAAGTGCAAAACTATACTAAATCATATACACTATTGTAAACTAATGTTACCTCAATGCAAAAAAAACCCACTAAAGAGAAGAAACACACACACACAATATATATATATATATATATATATATATATATATATATATATATGAAAAAAAGATGTCCCATGTGTATGCAAAGATTGTTTTTAGATAAAAATCTCCTTGTACTCTTCCTAAGTTGTAAGATTCTCAAACTCTTTCTGGATAAGCAATGTGAGTGTTTGTGTCCACAACAGCCAGGTTATAGGAAAACTGTTCAGTGGCTACTGGGCGTAACTAGCATTCTGTTAAAAATGAGTGACCATTTTGTAGATTACAACCTCAACAGTTTGTGTCATTTGAAGGCAAATGTTCTGGTATTTTTAAATAAGATGGGCAAGGCAGGCAGGAAACCAGTATTTATTACTCTTGTGATTAAACACTCTAGACCAGGCTTGTTGACGTGTATGCCAATAATCGAAGTTTCTGGCTTAGTGAAAATGAAATGTCTTTTCTATTGTGGTCTTATATCTATTTTGGTAATAAGATCAGTTTGTTGTTCTCTGTGCACCAGTGGTTTTGCCCTTAATTTTTCTGGCTAGCATTCACCAAGATCTGTCATGCAGAGCTGCTGAAAAAAATACATGTTGCCAAACTCCTTTTCATGAAATTGTGCTGCCAGTGATGTTTTTCCAAATGTGAAAAATAATTATCTAATAAAGGACTAATACCTAATAACAATACCAACACTAAACATGCTCATGAAATCTTCACCTTCTGATTCCTCTT